TTTATCTATATTCACATGCGTGTTGTTTGTCAATATGATGTCGAGTGGGGGCTGGGTGGGAAATATGAAGTTTCATATATAATTATCCAGCCACTGACTATTGCCATGTTTAGCTTGTTTTTCACCCTGGTTGTGGGGCCTTGATGGCATCCGCCCTGTATGTTCCTGTTACTTGATTAATTTTTGCTGATTTGACAGTATTCTACATTTTTGTAACAGGATGCAGCCAAAGTCATAAAGAGCATGATCCAGAAAAATCCTGACTCGCACAACTTCAATGTAATTGCAATATCAAAGAAAGTTTGAGATGTGTTTTAGTTGACAACTAGACCTCCTGGGTGTCCTTTGGAAATGGGTAATGTTCTTGTAATGAGTTAATGATGTTGACGAACGTATCAGTAAGTATATTGTTTTTCTGGTTGTGCATGTTTGGGAGCAATAATAGGTGAAATGATGTGGATATGTGGCAATGGGACAAGGCCAGACAAACTGAGACAGCAGGGCAGAATTGACTTTGCATTTGTAGGAAATCTGATTTGTGCTCAGAGAATACTAGCATGGTTCAAGTGCAACCCAAACATGAATATAGTGCAATTTGAATTTTTGGCAGCTATGATGAATGAGTTATCCTTCTTTTTCCCCTTTTTCATATTTGCTAAGAAAAAGCATCAATGAGTGAATCAATTGATGCCTTGTATGAAGATGATAGCGGTTGAAATGAAATGGAACTAAGAAAAACAAAAGACTTAGAAGGCCTGAAGGGGCCAAATTAAACAAAAGTCAGCAAGAACTACAACATTAGCAGTTAACTTGATCATATAATATCATATTTATGTTATTTCTAAATACTATAGAGACAACTACATTGCTACTGCTAACATGATGGAACAAGACATGGAAGGCTTAACGGAATCGAAAAACACTCTTTCTTGCATGATTGTGCATCCAGCAAAAGAACTGCCTGCATCATACCGTGGGACAAGGCAGTTCCAGCATGGTAATATATAGCCAGTATGGGATCTTTAGCTAGTAGGAATCCGATGTATGAACTTGTGCATATCATTTTATATGTCAAAGATTTAAACTGAAGGGAGCATGGGTGACACAGGAACTTCAACAAATCCGTCCAGCATGTGCAGGACCATCTTTGTAGAAAGTCTCCTTGCAGGATCCTACTGAATGCAGCACAATGCTACCATCACTCACCTCTGTAGCCTGCCCTTGTCAAACAACACTTTCTCATCACCACCAACCAGCACAGTTAATCTCTCCTCGACATGGCAGTCATAGGCCCAATCTGCTAGAATGGTATGATCTTCTTTATCAAACTTGGATAACACATTCTTTCTGCAGCAAATAATCTCCAACAAAAGGATTTCACAGCTATAAACATCCACTTTAGTTATCATAGGTAACTCCCGAACATTCAGGAGCCACATATCTGTGTGTTCCTCTTATCATAGTGTTTGTTATACTTTTATCAGACAATAACCATTTTGTCAATCCAAAATTAGATATCTTTATCCTGAATTGCTCATCCAGAAGTATGTTTTGAGGCTTTATATAGCAGTGGATGATGAGGCTGCCACATTCTTCATGTAAGTACACAAGTCCTCTTACAATGTCCAAAGCAATTTCAGTCCTTAATTTCCAATCAGGTAAGTGATGTCTGAATAGAAAACTAGCTGAAGTACCAAGGTCTTTCTTCTCAGAATCTAAGCAAGAGGACCAGATTCTTGCGACATGTCTTTCCAATTGATTTCAACTCAGTTTTAAACTCCTTTTCTCCTTCTGGGGACAACTCTAACTTCTTGACAGAAATTGGAATCTCTGAACACAGTTTGGAGATACCTTGATAAACAACGCCAAAAGAGCATCTGCCCATATCTTCCTTAAAATTATCTGTTGCTTCTTCAACGTCCTTGAAAGTAAACTTTGTCGATTTGTCACTAAAATTGAACTCTGGAAGCCTCTTTTTTTCCCTTATTGTGCTTTAGAAAAATAATCAGACAAAAATTGCCAAAAAATAAACTAATGGCAAGGGAGATGCTGAGAGATTCGAGAAGAATTTTCCTGCCTTGATCATTCTTCCTCGTAGATATTGACCGGCAATTTGGAGAAGGAACTACTTTTCTGGCTTTTATGAGAGCTTTTGTATGACCATTCTCTACTCTGCCATCACCAAGAGGCAGCCTCTTCTTCCAACACCCAGAGGAACCGACCATGGCAGCAGCACATGAACAATCATGCAAACAGGACATTCTGCATTCAGCTGTAATAAAAGGTGCAAGTCTTTCATAATTTCCAAACAGCCAATTCACCCCTTGAAGCTCCTGCATTTCATACACGTTCAGGGTCTTGTAACTCATCATCAATTGGGTTTGCAGCCACTAAACTGGTCATTTTGGATTCATCAACGAATACCTAATTCGGCATTTACAAGTGGGTCTGTCATGTTCAATTATGCAGAAACTGTTATATCCACATGCACCACTACCAAACTCATTCCCTATAGCAAAACAAATATTATCAGGAACACGTTGAACAACTGTGAATCGCTTGAACTCGGGTGAGCATATTGTGTTAAAACTCCATTGTAATCAAGCGTTGCTCAATAATAATTTGATGCAGGATTCACATCTACATTCCACCAAGGAAGTTGGGAAATCTCCTCTGTTCTGATTACTGTATAAATGTTGGCTGGCTCGTGCCTGGAAGCATTTGATGTAGCATTTACTGTAACATGAAGGGTAAAGAAACTCAGTTGGCCAGACCACGGGACTTAGCTGGAGATCACCATCTAAGAAACTCACCTCAAACCTTCCTTTGCTGTAGTTAAATTCTGATGGTCGAGAACACAAGCTACCATCCAGTTCAAGTTTTTGAGAAGGCAAGATGGTGTCTGTCAGATGGTTGAAACTCTGCCGTGCATAAAAAGAGTCATTATAAGCAAGAACGAAGTTTCCAGTTTCTAGCATGGCGGCATAAAAAACGGGGCGCATAATTTCTTCCCTCCATATGACTCGGCCTTCTAAGTCACTAAGCATGAGACCTCCTCTAAGCTCAACCTTTGATCCTTTCTCCACTGGGTTTACCTCTATTTCCATGCCAAACAACAGTCTTGCAGGGAATTTTCTCGTATCAGATTACCAGCAAGAAGAGCTTAGTGTTTTCAAGTGGACGAAATCCAAACGTGAATTAATGGATGGTGAAAGCCATGAAAACTGTAAAAGCTTAAAATTTATTTAAATAATAAATTTGAAATTTATAAAATATTAGCGAAAGCAATTAAGAATTTAAAATTTACATTTCTTACAAAATTTAATCAAAATACTTAATAGAAATATAAGAATATTTTTTAAAGGAAATTAAAACAATAAAAATAAAAATATAACTAGAAATCTATGGGGTCGACCTCCGCCGTGCAACTGGTAGGAAACGAGATGTGACCTTTAATTACTAACTTTCTTATTGTTCAGAGTACAGATTTTGGTCATCTTAATCTGAAATGGTTAATAAAGAAAAATGAAATATAGTAACCCAGTAAAAAAATTACCGATACAGAACACCAAATGTTGGTAAAAATCGCAAAATAACCAATTGAACTATTTTCTTTTAGGTAAATTTATTTAATTTAAAAACATTAGTTTTATACTCATCTTTTAAGTTCTCAAATACTACTTATGAGGGAAATAATCAATATAGCAATATACTATATACTCTAAGTAACCAATAGTAATCAGACTTTACTTATTTACTTACTTACCGGTGCCGCTGGGAATTCATAAGGATTCTCACTACAAATGGACTTAATATCCAATTTATTAATCAACCGGCTATTCTCATATCCCGTTCGGTAATGAGTATCAAACATAACACCACCTTAATACCCTATCCGATATGAGTATGAACAAAATACTTCTCAACTCCTTCAAGTATGGGATTTCTCAGTCCCGTTCGACCGAAATAATGTCAACGGTAGAGTTTGTCCTATGTACCGGGTCCATACACTCTTTTCCATGACACCCAGTAAGCGTTTTGGTTTGATAACGTTAACTAACACATACATATCCACATCATCATTTAGCCACCCATTACATGCAGCAATCTTATTTTATAATTACAGAACAATAGGATGATAAGTAAATAGACAATGTAATTTAATACACGATAATTAAAGAAGGCAAAATCAAAATATTTATTCAAACCAATTAACTAATAGGGATAAAATGATTGAGTAAATTAATAAGTGAGAAATCAATTAAACCTAATAAATTAAAGTGCACGTAGTAGCGGTAAGCAAACAAAACCGTATAGTAATAAATAAGCAGTATAGATAAATTATGATAATTATACACTGACCAGTTACCGGGTACATCGGTGACCTGTAATTAATTAATCAGGAGTTATCAATATTTTCAAATTTCATCATTTATTATTTATTAGATTTTAATTAACCGTAACAAAAAAAATGATGAGAGATTCTTACCCCGAATCTGTATTTGAAACACCATTTTTTTTACTGCACTTTCCGGCGATTCTCGGTTCTTGAATTTTTTGGATTTTTCTATGAAAACTAAAACACGCGTCAAATATCTCGAAAATATTCGAAGAACGGCCAAAAAATGGTTTAAAATTTTTTAGGACCAGTTTAGGGTTACGGCACTGGCTCCGCCGCCTACGACGGCGCCTCATCTCAGTCTGGCCAGTTTTTTTCGGCTTTGTGCGAAAACCTGCAAAACTTGAGGTTAGGAGACCTCTGTTGGCGGAAAAAAGAAAAAAGTCGAGACTTACCAGTGGGTGAGGTTTCCGATGCGGCAACTTCGCTTTTACTCCCTCGCGGTTGGGGTTTTTCTTCGGTCGCCCTGCACCAAAAACGAATCAGAAATTCAATGGTCAAAAAATATAAGGGAATAGGAAGGGGATTCGGGCTCATCGGAGGGGTTTTGGATTACGGGTGCAGCGGCTCGGTCGAGCTCCGCTCTTTGTTTTCGGCTTCTCCTCCTTTGGTTTTTTAGCACCCGTACGGGTTTGGGATGGCTTAGAATCGAAATGTGAATCAAAAGGGAAGAAAAAACTCACTTTCCGACATCAGTGAGGGTTCCGATGCGGCGGTGACAGTGGCCAGCTTCTTTTTCGGCCGCACTTTTTCTTTTTCTTCAGCAGGCTGATTGCGGCTAGGGTTAGAACTTTAGTGAAATATGAGTATCCTTCAATCCGGACTATCTGTTCGAGGATGCGTGGCTCAATCTCAGCCGTTAGATCCATCTTATTTGGGAAGCAAATCAGGACCGCATGATCGAATGTAATCAGGATCGTTCGATCATGTTTGAAAGGAAAACAAATTTGGGCAATTCATACGCGCGGGAGTGACTCTGGGTTGTTGGATCGATCGGCACGTGGATTATCTGCGTGACTTCCTGTGTGGATGCATATCCGCAAGTCTCCCACGCGGTGCACGGCGACTGGCCGCGCTACTGATGTGGATGTCCTATGTAGTCATTTTTCAATTTTTTTTTCACTTTTGTTTCAGTTTTTTAATTTTTTATTTTATTTTTAATTCGTCCCTAATTTTTTAAAATATGTTCAAAATTATTAAAAAAAGTTAAAATTTAAAATGTATAAATTTATTACTAATATAATTTTAATTATCTCGAGTCTAAATTCCGAGAGTTGGTAACATTTACAATAAAGAGTTGTTGCCGGGGGCATAGAGTGAGCAACCCAAGGTTATTTTTAACCGTGACTAACTGAATGTAGAGAGGAAAAAGAAAGAGAAGTACAGGTAAGAGCTTTGGCAGCCGCTGATGAAAATGAAGTACAGAAGTTTTAAGAAAACATGAAAAAGGTGTTTCCATTACGAAGTCTGTTGACTTTCAAGTCAATCCAACCTGAAGGGGTTTTATGTTTTTTTTTTTGAGTGCTTGATGTGATGAGAGGTCCATTTAAAGCACTGTTGGTGTGGAAATTATTCGTAAGAAAAATTAATTATTATTTTGTTAAATATTACTCGTATGCAATAATAATAATTGGTAGGTCGTCAGGATTTGATTTGTCAGAATAAAGCAGAGGGGGGGGAGCTGAAAAGTCAAAGACCATGAGTTCAAACTTTGAAAGTCAAAGGAGATGACGTCACCCAAACTAACTAACATCAACGTGTCACTAAAACCCCCCAATCTGGATTTCCAAGGAGCCCATTATCTTGCTAAATCGGCCCTCAGGCAGGAGGACATACAACTTTTCTAATCTCTCCTTTTTCTTAATTAATTAATTAATTATATTTATATTATTTTAATATTCAAGTTCAAAATTTTCATATTATTTATTTTTTTATTAAAAATTAATTAATTAATTAATTAAGATATATGAATAACTCACTCGTTATTTGTTTTTTTTTTTTTTAATTGAAATTACATTACTATTTTAAATTATTAACAAATTTTATTAATAACATCACATCATTATATATATTAATAGAACCAAATGCCCCTTTTTTCTTTTTCTTTTTTTTGGATAAAGGAAGAGATTACACAATAATTTATGCAAGGAGTTGATTCAAGTGGTAAAATAGTTTTCTCATGATTATGTAATCAGAAAAAATAAGTTGAATCATGTTAAAAAAGATACAATTTTGAAAAGACTACCAAAACTTTTATAGAGAAAATTGGTAAGAAGACGAATAGGAGGGGCATTAATCTTATCATCAAAACACTAATCCAATTTGATTAATTTCTTAATCTAAATTAACATATAAATAATTTCCCATTTCACAACTTTTCCTATTCACAATACAAACACAACTCTTTATCTTATCCCCTCTTTCTTTTAAATTAAAAATATGCAAAATCATGGGAATTCCCCATAAAACCTACCCCCCATTTCTTAATCACCTCCCGGTTAACTAAATTCACTGTCCACATCAGCATCCACGTCAGCTTAGCTAACCAATAGCTGCTCACCTTGCGTACACGACCCCACTTCACATTTGACTTGTCCGTTTCCCATTTCCAACCGGGCTTCACTGACCGACCCACCCGCTATCTTCCTCCTCCTCTTCGGCGTCCCGCTCTCCGACGACGAAGATGGCTCCGGCGATGCCCTCTTCGACGTCACCCTCACCGGGTCCGGCTCCCCGGAGTTTACCCTCAGCGGAAAATTCAACAAAGCACGGGAGCCACGCATCCTATAAGCGGCTCGATCATAAGCTAGAGCCGCGTCCTCGGCTGTCTCGTAAGTTCCCAACCATACCCGAGCTCCGTTCTTCGCCGGGTCACGGATCTCCGCCGCGAACTTCCCCCACGGTCTCTGCCTCACCCTCTGTAATGTCTTCCCTTAGCGTCGGCGCGTGAGTCGTC